ATATATATATATATATGAAGATTGCATTTGCAAAAACAGATAACTCTTTTTTATTAATTTTCATAAATCATGTTTTTCTTTTTTTTCAAGTAATTTATCAATCAAACTACAGTTTGGTTGTTTTGATTAAGTAATAAAAACTCAAAAAATAAAGGTAACATAAAATTAAAATTCATTGAAAGTATGTTTTTTTTATATATATTAAAAGTTAGTTTTTTTTGGCAAAAGCAGATAATTCCACATTTCATGTTTCAGAATTAAACAAAAGCCCTCTGTAATCTCCTCAGCTGACAATGTAGACACCTGACAAACTTTGTTGTTGTGATTACACGCAATACAGGAAGCTTTTCCCTCACCACCATAACGTGCTGCTTTAGTAAGGTTCCGTTTAAAAGGTTCAGTGAAACATTTTCAGCTTTTATTTTCCTTTTATGCCCCGAAGAAGATATCACGGGTTCATCAAGTTTGTCGAAATGATCCATCCTCGATAACTTTTAGTCAGCTTTGACGAAACTCCTCTCAGCTAGCATGTCTTTTCAAAGTGAAAGTAGCCTTGTCACCTGACCTGAATACAGCGCGCTGATTCGCTAAAATGGACTTATCAGCTTCTGTTCAAAAACAACAAGGGTGCTTGTCGGCTTCTGCAGTAAAACGTGAACTCGCGATGATGCCTTGAAAGTGGACAAAACCGGCTTTTTTGACAAAACGTGTTTAGGGTTCAGATCGCGCTATATGTGGAGAATAATGCACGGCAATCAGCTAATTTTTTTTAAGTGGCGTTTATCGGTTTTTGCAAATGAACTCTTCATATATTTCTAAATATATTTGGGCCAGATTCCATATGGGTAATTAAAATGGAAGTTTTCTGCTTTTAAATTCTCTAATAGTATGAAGCTTATAATTTTATAAAAACACTTTTAATGTTGTCAAAACTTGCATATTATTTGAGCTGTAGAGCTCTTTAAACATTTTTTCAGTTGTTTTAGGTTAGTTTGCAGTTTTCTCACTCTAAAATCACTTTAACACACGTGTTGTGTATATCTTGTGACTGTACTATTGAAATAGTGATTAATTAAACAATTTACAAATCAGCTCCATTTACTTTTCTTTGTAAATGCCTGATTTTAACTCAGATGTTGGTTGTGTTTTATGTTTTTCAAAAGAAGAGGAAGGAATTGGTGGAAATTCATTTTTGTCATGCAGTCGATCCTTCAATCTCATTACCGTTACATGATTTTCTCTCTTTTCACGTTGCAGCAATTGTGAGAATCTGACTGACGCAACAGCCCATCTAGAGGGTGAGCTCCTGACTCCATCAGTGAGCCCTGACAACACCAGCGCTGCCTCTCAACCCCAGTCGCCCGTCAGCGCTCCTCCAGAGCAGGACGCCTCTGAGATCCTGGGAGCCGACTACCATCTGCTGTCCAGACGAGAGCGGACACAAGCCGAGCTGCTCGTGGAGACTTTAGCCCGAGAGCTGGTGAGCCACGACAAATCCCTCACCTCGCTCCTGGACACCTGGGCAGGTAAAACCACCCTGGATCTGATGGAGGACATCTTCCCTTCACACAGGACGATCAGTGGCGGCAGCCGTTTGAGTGACCGGTGAGTGTTGAACAGATGTTGAAGGTAAAGCACGGGAATCATGAATATAGCATTACCCAATAATCAGGTGGATTTCATGCTCACAGGGCTGATAAACACAAGAGCACTTTGTTTAAAGCTGATTATATTAGTGCTTGCAGGTCACGGCCTAATTTTATTGCGATAACTCAACAATAGATCATGTTGTAAAGATAATGACACACTTCTGTGTGTTTCCTGTATTTAGTGCATAATTCACTCATGTTCCTTAGAAAAAAGCCACTGTGGCGGTACTATGTTACAGAGATTGTTTTGGATGATCATTACTCCAAGTAAAGAATACCATGGTCCAAAAAACATGGCATTACATATTTAAAAAGGTTCAATGCAATAAGATATCCATATGTTAAATAAAACATAAATACATTGATCTGAGGTGCCATATTTGACCGTAATTTGAAAGTGTTTAAAGAAAAAATGAAATATATTAATTGAAAACATGATTTACAGTTTATCACCAACACAAACACACCAAGAACGAAAAAGTAAGCAAGTTCAAGATTTTTCACATTAATTTGTCTTTGGTGCTCTGGTAAAACATTTACTCGTCTCTATAATTATGGGTGACCCGCTAATCAGAGCAGAACTACACTGACATCTAGTGGCCGATCCTGAAATAGACACATTTCTCAGCCTTCAGTCTTTACCATCCACCTGCTGAATGTAGAACTGTAGATACACTCAGATAGTAGACAATCTTGCAGATAAGCTCATATAATATATTGTTTCACAACAATATTACTTTTTTTTCAGGAAATGCATCTGATTAACCAAACATTGATACCTTGAAAAACCATAGCTTTTTATACATGTACTGGAGTAATATCTTTTTTCTTTTTTTCCCTTTTTTTTTACATTTATGCATTTGGCAGATGCTTTTATCCAAAGCAACTTGCATTACATTAAAGGAATAACTTTTTTTACTCATTCCCTGGAAACTGAACCCATTTATTTTTTGTGTACTGTATGAACCATGGTTGAAAATATTAGACATTTAGAAAAGTAATCAAAAAGTAATCAAATGTAATCAGTTACATTACTTTAATAAAGTAATTGAAAAGTTACACTACTTATTACATTTTAAGTAGGGTAACTTGTAATCTGTAACCTATTACATTTCCAAAGTAACCTTCCCAACACTGGGTAACACCACAGTAATGGTTTTAAAACATTTATCTGTTACTTGTAAACCACAGTCCTTTTTTTGCTCCATTGACATGCGGTGTGTGTGATTGTTCTGTTGTGCCGCTGAACTAAACGTGTAATTACGTGTGCTCTGTTTGACACGGGGAATGTGGATTTTAGCCATTCTCTGTCCCTGTATCTGAAAAATAGGGCATTCAGGAGGAAAACTAGTGTGAACAAGACAAACGTTTCTCTTTGTTTCGTGTGTTTGACCTCTATTAGGGCTCAAGATGGTCCAGATACTCCCTCTCAGGCTGTTCCAAGAAAAATGGAAACCAACTTGGACGACGAAGACGCTTACTTGAATCAGAAGAAGGTCAGATACACATTTATAAATGAAAATATAAAAATAAATATGAATAATAATTAGGAAATGTAAGTAACTAAAACCTTTATCAAAAAAAATTATATTTCAAATTTATAAATATTTGTATACATATATTTTTTATATTTATGTATGTTTCAGCATCTAATAATAATATTAAAACCTATCAAAAATATATTTATATTTGTAATGCATAAATATTTGTTTTTATACATAGATTTTAAATGTTTTAACATCTAATAACCAGGAAATATAAATAACTAAAACCTATCCAAATATTTAAATGAGTCATAATTTTTTTTTTTTACTAAATACTTTTTAATACATGTATACATTTTATTTAATTATTGTTATATTACCATTTAATTATTTAAATAATTTTTAATGTCTAAAAATATATTTATATTTGTAATATTTTTATACATACATTTTGTATATTTATGCAAATCTAATAATAACTAGGAAAAGATAAGCACTTACCAAATATAAGCATATAAGCAAACTACCAAAATATGTTTATATTTGTAATGCATAAATATTTATTTATTTATTTTTATGTACACATTTTATATGTTTATTTATTTAAATATGTTTATCATCTAATAATTAGGAAATATAAGTAACTAAAATCAATCAAAAATATATTTATACTGTAATATATGAGTATTTGCTTTTTTATACATATATTTTATATATTTATGTATGTAAACATGTTTTAACATCTTTGTTTTTGGGCCACTTTTGTACAATCCGAAATATATTTTAAAATATTTTTGGATATTTATTTATTTGCTGTGTGGTAACCTTTATTGCATTGTTTACACTCTCATACTGGATTCACGTTATATTCACTGAATGCAGTGGCACAAAAATGAGAACAATGACACTGAGCACAAAGCCATTCTTCATTTCCCTGAATCAATGCGAGGCCCAGAACTCTGATCTAAGAGAGTCTGTTTGTTGATGGTGCAGTGTTGTGTCCCGTCCTGCAGGTGGAGCTGTTGCAGGCGCTGCAGGTGAGCATGCGTTCACTGCAGGGGGAGAGAGAGGGGCTGTCGGAGCAGCAGAAGCGCTTCACGGCTCTAGGCGAGAGCATGGAGGCTTTAGTTCAGGAGCGCTGCAAACCCAACGAGAGAGAGAAGTACCGCATGTTCGTCGGAGACCTGGAGAAGATCGTCAACCTGCTGCTGTCGCTGAGCGCTCGACTCGCCCGCGTGGAAAACGCTCTCAACGGGCTGAGCGACGACCACACTGCAGAAGAGAGGGTGAGGAGTGCTCCAGAAAATAAACAGAGAATTTTAAACTTTTTTTAACCCCCTGAGGTCAATTTATAATGTCGCGGAGCCCTCCGCTCGCCCGGGTGGAAAACGCTCTCAACGGGCTGAGCGACGACCACACTGCAGAAGAGAGGGTGAGGAGTGCTCCAGAAAATAAACAGAGAATTTTAAACTTTTTTTAACCCCCTGAGGTCAATTTATAATATTAATATATAATAATATTAGAATAATATTAATAATTATAATATTAGTTTCTTTTAATCATTTAATCAGTTTTATCATGATCATTTTCATTTAATCTTTCTGAAATTTAGAAATGTTTAGTTAACTAAAACGTAAACTATAAATTTTTTTTTGTTTGTTCAGCTAGTTGCCAAAGCAATATTTCTCAATAACTCTAAAACTGAAATAAAAATTAATAACTATACACATAATGACAAAAACGGACAACTAACATTAAAATTAACAGGGAAAATATAAAAGTCAAAACTAATTCAAAATATTAAAAAACTATAGTATTTCAGTTATACTAAAGTATAATTAAATATAAATAATAAATAAATAATTTATGAATTATAAATATATCAATATAAATTCAATTCAAGTTCATTTTTATAGCGCTTTTCACGATACAACTCGTTGCAAAGCAGCTTTACAGAAAATTAAGTTTCTACAATATATTTAGTAGTAGCTAGTCAGTGGTGACTGTGTCAAATTGATGTACATATGGCAGAAATGTACGGTAAAATCCAGTTAATGACGTAATCAAACAGACGATGAACACTATTAACAGCAATGATTATATGTTGCAATCAAACTTGTAGCAACATTTGGTAGTTTATGTTGTTTCAGGGTTTAATATTAATATAAATAATACTAAAATAATGCTTTGTACTAAATATGACATTTTTGCCATTGTACCTTTAAGACGTCTATGTAAACACTGTTTTTGCATATGAAATGGGCAAGAATTATTGCTCATTTTATATGCAAATATGGTGTTTACATACAAGTCTTAAAGGGACAGCAGCAAAAATGTCCTGCTGCTGTCGATGCATTATATTTAGTGCTGTCACATCCTTGCAAACAACGTTTATGCAAAGTTGCATTACAAATGACCTGCATTACACATTTGCGAAACAATTTGCACTAAAATGTGGTGTACAAAAATTCAGACCAATATGATCAGGCATGGTATAAATCATCAAACATTTCAAAAGAACAAGGAAAATGTGATTATCTCCTTTTATATACCAGTTAACAAACAAGGATCCAGTTTGTAATGTAATCAGTCTGACATATCTACTGCCCTGCAGAGCCACTTTTACCCATCCTGATTTAAATAAACATGAACATAACAACGATTAGAGATCATTTTAGAAGATTACAACATCATAACCACTTTGCCTGTGGGGAGATGCCAGCATCACACACATAAAAACACATTGTGCTTTAGTATTGGGATAGTTATGAACAGCATTTATATATGAATGTGTAAGGGAATATTTTAATATATATTTTCTTCAAGTTTTCCGTTTGCAATCACCTTAATCTCAAATAGTAAATTGTAAATGGCCATGTAGTGTGACAAATGCATTTCTATACACTACTATTCAAAGGTTTGGGGATTTTTGTATTGTTTTTGACAGAAGTCTCTTCTGCTGCTCACCAAAAATACAGTAATTTTATTAAATATTATTACAATTTAAAATAACTGTATTTTATAAGAATATATTGTAAAATGTAATGTATTCCTGTGATGTAAAGCTGAATTTTCAGCATCATTACTCCAGGCTTCAGTGTCACATGATCCTTCAGAAATCAGTATAATATGCTGATTTGCTGCTCAAGAAACACTTCTTATTATTATCGATGTTGAACGTAGTTTTTGCTGTAGTTTTCGTTTTTTGTTTTTTTTTTAAACGGTGATTCAGTTTTTTCAGGGTTCTTTAATAAAAGGTTCAGAAGAACAGCATACATTGGAACATTATAAATGTCTTTACTGTCACTTTTAATCAATTTAATGCATCCTTGCTGAATAAATAAATAATGTAATGAATAAATAAAATCTGATCCCAAACTAGTACTAATATTGCATATAGCCTTTCGTATAAGAGGCTACATGTATAATAATTATGAAGGAATTATCAAAATGCTTTTTAAAATAGTTTTATAAGGCGTATGTCTCACCACAGGACACATCACCTTCCCATTGACCAAAACTAACAACAATCCAACCTGACACTACCTAAACATTCAGTTTACTGAATAAAGGGCTGATCCAGATAATTACACATTTCACACACTGAGAAAGAACAAGAAATACTAATTAAATGACATAATATTATATAACAACACAGAGTGATTCATTTCAGACACCTGCGTCTCAAACTCAGCTGAGGACAGAGATCAAGTCTAATCTGCGAATTACACAGAATCAACGTCGTCACGAATTGAGGGTCAAGTTCATGATGATTAGACTTTGTGTGTTTAATATCTCATGACATAATGGTGTTTAAAATGGATTACCTTCAGTAATATTTTAGATATTGCACATGCATGTGCATTTCATGAACCTGATTTTTTTATTTATTTATTTTTTTTACAATATATCAGTCTACGACACTTTTATCAGAGCAATTCCTATATCTTCAAAACAGTTTCTTTTTAAGTCATACAATCATGTGCTTGTGCTCTATTGTTTATTTAATGGTTTAACACGGCTAATCCTGTTCAACAGGCATCAGGAACTGTTACAAATAAAACCTAGAGTACTATTAGTATCTGTTAAGAGTAGGCCTGGGCGATAAAACGGTATCGATATTTATCGACGGTACACCTTCATCGATAACGATAGAAAAAATTTTCAATATAGTGCACGATATAGGCACGTGTTATGAGTGACACAGACAGCACACACAAACACGAACATGAGATTGTGAATTTAAAAAATTAATATTAGTCGAATTTAAAATAAATATTTGCATTTGAATGCAAAAATGGTACAATCGAACGTTAGGTGTGCGTCTGGGAGCGTCATTAGTGGAGCGCGAGATGCGGTGATGATGATGTAAGTGACGTTGTTGCATTTTAATGTTTTGTTAGTCTAGCCCACGAGACGCGCCGCTGCTGCGTCATTCATTCAAAATATTAGAGAAATATAGAAGCTCAATGCGAAGATCTTGAATGGGTTAAAACCAAGCCATTCACACAGAACGCATATTCAGCGCATTTTTAAACGGACAAATATGACTGCTGCTCTCACGTCTCATGCAAGAGATGCAAAGAAAGCCATGCAAAGTTAAAACCGGTTAAACGTTTAGAAAACGCGACGCAAATTTGTGAAGGTTTATTTCATTTCATTGCGTCTCATATGTTTTTAAATGCAATCTGTGTGATCGGCGATTCGGCTCTTTGTATTAAGCAATGCATAAATACATGATACTGTTTTGTTCATAATTGTTTATGCAGTTTACAAAATTATATTTGATTTATATATGTTCAATTTAGACGTTATGCACGTTTTTATAGACAGTTATTTGCATTGACAATTTAATGTGCTGCATTATTTTGCTCATTGCGCCCTCCTGTGGCATTTGAAGACAAGCCAAAAGTTTCCTTAAGACTTATTTAATCTGCATATAAAACATAAGAAAGGAGATATTCGTTTAATTTATTTTGTGTTTGACTGTTAAAATTGACTGTTATGTTGTTTGTAATATATTGGGCAAATTAAAAATACAGTGGTTAAATTCAAAAATGTTTTTCTATTGCTCTGTTTTAAAAAAGGTTATTAAAAAATGTAAATAATTATCGATACCGAACGATATGAAACATTATATCGTTGATACATTTTTTAGCTATATCGCCCAGCCCTAGTTAAGAGTGATGTTAAACGCCTTTTTGGTGGAAACACCTGTGTGCAATATTATGCAATTTAAGTCCTCTACAAACATTAGACCTGTCATAAATACATCCTTGTTTGCTGAGTAAGCTAAACTAGTCATTCCTTAAACGTCAAAGACAGCTGATGATTTGGAGACTGTTGACATGCTGAAACATTATTATTGAAAATAATATTTCTGTTTCATCTAGCATCATGCACAACTGTAAATATTTATGTACACTACTGTTAAAAATGTGAGATTCTTTAATGTTTTTGAAAGAAGTCTCATCGAGGCTGCATTTATTTGATCAAAAATACAGTAAAATCAGTAATATTGTTAAATATTATTACTATTTAAAATAACTGGTTTCTTTTTGAATATATTTAAAAATGTAATTTATTCCTGTGATGCAAAGCTGAATTTTCAGCATCGTTACTCCAGTCTTCAATGTCAAATGATCCTTCAGAAATCATTCTGATATGCTGATTTGATGCTCAAGAAATATTTCTTATTATTACAGTTGTGCTGCTTCATATTTTTGTGGAAACCATGATACGTTATTTTTTTTGACAATTCATTGATGAATAGAAAGTTCAAAAGAACAGCATTTAAATCTTTTGTAACATTATAAAAGTCTTTACTGTCACTTTTGATCAATTTAATGCATCCTTGCTGAATAAAAGTATTAATTTCTGATATATTTGTCTGAATCTATAGGAATCGCTGCAGCTGAAGAGGAAGCAGTTGTGCAGTCAACAGGAAGACGCTCGCGAGCTGAAGGAAAACCTGGACCGGCGCGAGCGAGTGGTTCTGGACATTCTGGCGAGTTACCTGAGCGGCCCACAGCTGCGCGACTACCAGCGTTACATCCGCATCAAACCCGCCCTTCTGATTCGCCAGCGCCACCTGGACGAGCTCATACGGCAGGGGGAGGAGCAAGTGCAGAGGCTGGATGAGACCCTCCCCCCTGAGTCCCGCCCAAAGAACACTGACCCCGCCCCCCAAACGCCACATTGTTTTAACTCCACCCACTTGCCACGTCCCACCACTGTGACCTCACTCTGACTCCGCCCATCATAGAATGACGTCGCTTACAGCTGAGGACGAATCAGAATCAGTGACACTGACTATAAGCAATGCACACTGAGAAGTGCCTTAAATGAAGGAAATGACTTTTTCCGACTTTTTAAAGTATGGAAGACCATAACTGTGGTTTATCTACACTAAACAAATGCACAGCACATTTACACTACATACTTAGCATATAGCACAACACTGAAGCACAAGGCACAATGCTAATTCAATGGCACAAAATGCCTCATTGTGATTGGCCGAAACACGAATAATTTCCAGCCCTGAGCACTTTGGAACACATGAACCACTATGACGTCACAAAGACAAGAAACTATTGAACACACGAACACTTTCTGTCTATCTGAAATTCCTGCCGTCGATAAAAGCGACAGCTGATTATTTATGATTTTACGTTGTTTAGAAACTATTTTGTACTCTGTACGTTGCTGTACATACTCAATCCCCTCGTGATTTTAAAATGTAGATGTTAAAAAGCAGAATAGAAATTGTATTTTTGTAAGCAAATGACTTGCGAGGGGTTTTTGGGCGGCTTTAACAGGTGCTATTTTATCTAAATCAGAGACGATGCTTCCTCGGCACTTGAACACAATATCAGTACTTGGTTTCAGTAGCAAACATTCTGTTAAAACTGAATATTATTCACAACTTGGCCGAATGCAGGGTTTTTTCTACATTTTGGTTTGATCACAATGCACATGCCCAAACTATTTTGCCATTTTATTTTATTTTAATTTGTGGCTGTTTTTTATTTGAAGAACATCTTTATTTGCGAAATATCTAACCCTTGTACATCTGTATGAAAAGGCCGCGATAGCAGCTCATAATGGAAGCGTTCTTGTTCTGTTCTTGTATGAGGCAAAACTGTTGTTGTCATCTGAGACACATGCAATAGTTTTTTTGATGGGGCTAATCTGAAGAAACGGTTCAGCCATGCTTTACACTGTTTAAAAGCAAAAAGAGCACAATTGGAAGCAAAATAAATCTATTTTTTAAATACAACATTATTGTGTCAGCGTTGGGGGTAACGCATTACAAGTAACGCGAGCTACGTAATCAGATTACTTTTTTCAAGTAACTAGTAAAGTAATGCATTACTTTTTAATTTACAAGAGAATATCTGAGTTACTTTTTCAAATAAGTAACGCAAGTTACTTTTTTTTCCAATTTATTGATTGACAGCTCTCCTGTCCCCATGTTGAGAGAAATCAGAAGATGTTACTGTAGTTCTAAAATAAATATGAATATGCATTAATTAATCTCACTCACAAAATTAAAAAAACAGATTCCGTATTCCTCAAAATGAATGCAAAAGTTACGTAACGCATTCCTTTCCATAAAAAGTAACTAAGTAACGTAATTAGTTACTTTTTAATGGAGTAACGCAATATTGTAATGCATTACTTTTAAAAGTAACTTTCCCCAACACTGGTTGGTGTTGCGTTATTTGCAGTTTAATTATGAAAAATAAAACACCTGCACTTTCTGATTGATCATGTCCTGTAAATATACTATTGAAAATTATAATGCAGATGTGACACTTAGCATATTAGTATATTAATAAAATTGGTTTATCATAATCATATTTCACCGGTTTTATACCTAAAAAAAAAAATGAATCCCACACTCTTGGAAATCGTATTTTAATGCAACGTTTCAAGCATGCGACCTTCATCAGGCATTGTTTTCACCGTTGCATTTAATTTAACCAATTTTATTGATACACTAATATGCTGTTACTTACAGATTGTGATTTTCAATAGTATATTATATGACATGATCAATCAAAAAGTATCAATATTTTTGCTTTTTATACCTAAAAATTGTTTCTAGGTAATAATTCATGCTTGTATACATTCCTGTTTAGAAACAGAATAACATGTATCTGTCAAATGATTGGTGTACTTGTCAAATATTTCAGATTTCATTGCTTAAAAAAATATGCTAAACGTCTGAAGTATTCACCTCACACGTGCAAACCGAAAGTTATGCTGCATAGGTGAAACTGGGAATATTCTAAATGTTCTGTATTTGAGCAAAACCAGTTGCTCAACCAAGTAAAAAGGGCAGGGAAAGAAATTTCTCTGGTTTCCAGAAACACTTTAAAATGCTTTCGCATCTAGAAATTGCTCTTTGCGAGCATAATCGCTGAAAACTATTGATCACAAATGCATGGGAAATGGTCAGAAGGTGTGGGAATACATGCACCTTTATTCTTGAAATGATCCCTAGAGAGAATCAAGTCACTTGATACCGGTCATAATATGGTCAGTACTTCAAAGAATACTGCAACAGGAAACTAGCGAGGAACAAGAAACTGCCAAACAAACAATGTAATGGTAACCAGATCACAGATCAGAGTAACGGCTAATCCATAGTGATATCCACTACTTTATCAGGGCTGAGCAAGCAATCTGAATCATTTAAGCAGTAGCATGAAATCAGCATATGCCTCATAAAGGTTTAGAGATTATGGCATGATGTAATGGATGGGAAATTCTGTGAAACCAAAGAGAAAATGATCTAAAAATGCAGCATGAAGCACAACCATAAATGCGGATTTCAAGGTCTAACAATTTGATTGGTCTGTATCTTAAAGCATTGCATCAAAGGTCAAGATGGTTTTACAAAGGTCAAAGTCTTTGTCTTTTATTCAAATAATAAACCTGGAACATAAAGGTGCATCACAAAGTGTAAATATTATGCAAGACAATGCAGAGCAGAAACACAGCCAACACACCCTGACATGTCGAAACATGTCTGCAAACAACACTTCATACCCACAAATCAGGCCGTGATGTTTCCATGGAGTAAAAAAAAAAAACCGCTCAATTGTGATAGGGAGAGATCAAGAAAAACACCCAACTCCACCAGTCAGATCATCTCCTCCCAAACTCTGCTTTTCTCTATCTCTCAGATCAGACAGAAAGAAAAAAAACTGGTTTAGCTCAGCATGCAAATCATCCAGAACTTCTACTCCCACATCAACTCACTCTATAAAATGATTCGGAGAAAAACAAAACGAGAGAGAGAGAGAAAACTTGACCCAAGTCACTCGGATGTTGCTTAAGCAACACTTAAGGAGGTCTGTGAGTTACGGTTGTTTTGGCATCTCCTTAGCAACAGCTGGAATGTTCTTATAAATGAATTGGAATTTGGAGCGTTTTTTCTTTATCGCTCATTCAACATATTTAGATAAGGAGGAAAGGTGAGTTAAATATTAAACAGTTTAAACCAGCTAGGAGCTTATCTTTGGTATTCATCATGAACGCATACAGTGCTGGAGAGCATCAACGTGTGAGATCATGTGATGAGAGACACCATCTGCAACATCCCAATATGAAGAGCAAGAAAGAAATCGAAATGAGATTGAAATGTCACTCAGATACATGGACATTTCTGAACAGCATGGTTTCATAGATTAAATACAAAAGGGGGCACAAAAAGCTTCCTGCACCTGCAGAGCTCAAGGGTAAAAACAATTACAGGGCACTGAACCAAATTTGTCCCTGCAGAGGAAATGAACAACTTGTTATGAGCAGAACATGTATTTAGATGATCCTCGGTCTGAAACAACATGACTTAGAATCTAGTTTGTCAGTACAAAGCCAAACACTGCTGCATATAAGACTTATTAAAGGGATAGTCCACCCAAAATTTAAATCCTGCCATAATTTACTCACCTTCATGTCTCCAAAACAGCATTGGACCCCATTGAAATTCATTGCATGGACCAAAAAAAAAGTCCAATAGGTTTGAGGGCGAGTAAAAAAAAATGGCAGGGCTTTCATTTTTGGGTGAATTATTCCTTTAACATAATTATTTCATAATACAAAAGAGGTATTTAATATCGGCCTCACAAGGGATGCCAGAATATATAAATGACTTTCATAGAAAACACACAAAACCCAGACACATATAAAGTTACAAACCAAAAACAAAACAGGAAAAACATTGTACCGTTCAATGCAAGTTTCCATTTTTTAATTATAAAACGAAGGGATTTTTCACCAGCAAAAAGTGCCACCATTATGAGCAAGGGTTTAGGTCCTTACAACAATCTAGTCGCTAAAAGGCTTCTGGACTAGATGAGACCCTCAAGTGAGACTTGTGTTTGAACAGTGCAGCGATAGACGAATGTCTGTTGATGTTCACCTTGGTGTTGGCAGGTCTTGCGGTCAGGTTTGCTGGCGTCGCTGGACTACCGCTGATGCATTTCTGTGGGGCACCCAGAAGTTCTAAGATGTCCCAGTTTTCGTTTTTGCTCAGATATTGCCATGCTCTTTTACCACTGCTGTCCCGTATCCGCACGTCAGCGTTGAACTTTTGCACCAGGAGCCGAATTAATTTCTTGTGGCCGTGAATGACCGCCAGGTGGAGCGGCGTGTATCCGCACAAGGTCTTTGCATTGACGTCTAAAGTCATCCCAGCCTTGTCGACGCCGTACCACAGCGTATTCAGGACGCGATGGTCACCATGCTTGGCGATCCAGTGGACGATGGTGAAGCCGGATATGAAGTCTTGCTTGCTCAGGAGGTTCGGGTCATCTCGGAATAGAGCATAGATGTCGGTCCATGTGCCTGATGCCGCTTTGACAAACCAGTCGTGTTCTCTGGGGTCAAGAGGGATGGATGAGTGTTTGCCGCTGAAGGAACCATCGTGCAAGGAGGTCGCCAAGCTTCGTGTGGATCCAGAAGGCGACGAGAGGTCTCGGGAACTTTGTCCTCGGCTAGAGGACTGCGAGACTAAATTGCCCATGCTTAGAGTGGAGGACAGCAGCTGGAGTCGGTTGTGCCGTGCCGAGATGTTGTCCTCTGGGAATGGCTGATCCAGGTCTTCTCCGAGACTCCGACACATGCGACTCCGCAGACGGGACGTCAAGCGGCGGATGATGGGTCCGCGACAGGTCTCCGGTGAACTGCTTTGCATAGAAGCCCTCGAGTCCTCGTCGATGAGGTGACCGGTCGAGTGGTGCATGGACATGATGTTGCGACTCGGTTGGTAGAGTTGCGACAGCAGCCTTTCTTCCTGAGTGCGACGTAGGAAAGCTCGTACATCATTCCCGTCTTGTCCTGGGATAAGTCCCTGATCGCTGGACCACTCATTGCCGTGCGGCCAACCAGTGTCAGGTGGTGTAGAACAAGGCGAGGGGATTGAGACGCTGTCATGACTTGAGGAAAGACTCGATGAGTGACGGATCTGCAAGTACGTTGCACTTGCATAGACTTGAGGGTCGTCAACAGACACGCCGTGAGGCTCATATTCGTCCCCCTCCTGGATCGGAAATCCATTAAACCCTCCGTTTGGTCGTAGTAGGCTATCATTGCTTCGGCTTAAGCCTGCTTGGTTGTACGTCTGGGAGTGTATGTGTGGAGAAACAGGGCGGTCCAGCAGACAAGGCGAAGACTTGTATATGTGAGACTGTCCGAGGGTCGAGCACAAAGGCCATTCTTCGGCGACAGGCTCGTCTGAGTGTTTGGTGTGAACGTCCGATGTGCTTGCATTCAAACTTTTCCTTTCAACCGTAGGCGACACTCTAACCTCATAGTAAGCAGGGTTGACGAAGGACTGCTCGCAACCATCTGCTTCCCTTAATTGTCTCTGTTTGGCAACGTAAACACCGTTGTGTTCCAGATCTGTTGCCTCCCTGGTTGCTTTCGACTCCCATGGCTGTTCAAAGCTCTGGCCGCTCCCACTCGAGCGACTGTCCGTGTCGGATGGGGTTGGTTTCAAAGGGCAGGTATCGTTAACCTGTTCCGCGCAGGAAGCAGAGACAGCAGGTTGTTCCCTCCCATGTGGTGATGAAGTTCTGACAGCTTTCTCAAAACTGGGAGCAGAATCGTTGTTGTTGTTGTTGGTGGTGGTGGTGGTGAGGATTCCAGCAACTGGCAAGATTTCAACACGAGTTGGGACGGTCAAAGCAGCTTGAGGTTTAGAGTCTCGTTCATTCTGCTGCTCGGGCTCTCGGTTCTTGGCGATGTCTCCGAGATGCACAC